ATCAAGACGGATTTAAACAACCGCAATTCGCACATAAAATTAAACTTGCTCCTATTGCTGAGCGGGAGGCGTCTGTGCCTGTACAGGGGGCGAAAGTTTCGATATGAAAGCGATAGTGTCTGTAACCAATGATTTGATAAACCGAGGCACATTCGGTCGGCTGGCGAGGTTTTCGCACTTCAGTCTCAACTCGTGGAACATGTTTCTTGTGTACGGATTCCTTCTGGATGTGTAGCGTTGGTACAAAAACTTGTAGTAGATGAACGGGGTCAGGAGGCCGGCCTTGCCACTAAAAAAACATTTCGGTATGCTTCGAAATAACTAAACAAATCACTACTTACGAGAAGGACAAAATCACTGTGTAGGGCATCAGCATGATTTCACTCAATGAAACCAATCTTAAAATGTTAAGCGATTGGAATTCGACCAGCGATATAAGCAATCGACAGCCCCACCATGAATTTTGGCCTAAGGTCTGCAAAACAATCGAGCAATAAAAGTTTGGTAGATAAGTTCTATATTGTTGAGGCGGATTCATTTTTTTACAAACTTCTTGTTGGGTATTTTTGCCTTTAAACGACAGAATTTCCTCACGTCTTTTATTACAGATCGATAAATAGTGCTCCTATTTCGCAATAAGAACGAATTATTTATCAAAAAGTAATCAAGATCTATCACCTAGAGGGTATCCTGTTATGTCGCAGGATACTCTCTAGGTGATAGATCTTGATTACTTTTTGATAAATAATTCGTTCTTATTGCGAAATAGGAGCACTATTTATCGATCTGTAATAAAAGACGTAAGAAAATTCTGTCTTTTAAAGACAAAAATACCCAAAAAGAAGTTTGTAAAAGTTTGGTACTTCGAGCACCAATCGCACTTACATCTAACAGTGTCAATGAATAACTTGAAGCGTGTAGGATGGCGAATAGCACTACTGGTGCCAGAGCCACTGTGAAGAAGTTAAGAAACTTACATTCTAAACGTTGAATGTTTGAAAAAATCAGCAAAAGTAGCAGGTGAAATGTATTTTTCGTTCGTTTTTGAAGTGTATTTAGGTATATCTGAGATGGACTAGCAAAGTTTAGTAGTTATTTTTCCATAAGCCGGTTCCTAACTCCTATGTCGCAAAAAAAAGCATTTATAGAGCTTGCTCTGGAACCCAAAGTTATCTACATAAAGTTGGACTATTAACCGAATTCGAGCAGAATGGCAATTTATGATCGTTGATAAAAATGTGTAGTGCCTGACTGATATCAGTTAAATTTTCGATTTGAAAAGGATACAAGTCACTGGAGCTACATAGATGAATATCAGCGAGTAGAACAAGTAATGGCCACTATCCTCTAAAATGAGGGCATAGAGAAAAGTCCTTGAAAACTCGACTCTTCCCAAGCGCTGATGCAGCCGCAAGGCGCTGATTGCTGCATTGGCGATGAGGACTTTGTAGTACGCACTTTGTGATTGTCTGAAAACAAACCCTAATACAATACTGACAGTTACTAAATGGATATTAACCGAGGCAAAATTATATATATCACTAAGAATGTGTGCGATAAAATAAAAGCTTTTTGGGTTTACTACCAACGTTTTCCCACTTCTTTCTATTCTTCCCAATTGATTGTTAACAAACAGCGACAGATTTGATGCATTGACTTAAAAATTAAACGCTCTATTAATCCACTAACAAACTGAATACAAGTTTAAACTTTCTAAGTACAGAATACATAGATGTATTTAAACGTGAATATAAATGTTTCTAGCCACCGACTATACCTCGTCAAACAAGACGTAGCTAAATAAGCATGTATTTTGACCCCCATTATTAGATTCATGGCATTGAATCTCGAGTAATTGCTTTATTAATGGCCTATTAATGCATATATTTAGGTGGAAACTGTGCCTAAAACTTACCCGAAAATAGGTATGAAATATCCAATGGAGAAAGCTATTACCAGGATTCGCATAGCCCAAAGCCCACAGTCGATTTTGTGCGCTATAACATGGGCTTTAAGGGCATCGAAGTTGATCCCCCTTTGGGGTTGGGGTTCTGTATCATTTTCGGGGTTCATTATAAAAAATAATTGATTAACAGAAAAAGGACCTCGATCAGAAACTGGTATGAAAAACAATGTTAGTTAAAGCGCCCGGATTTTACAGTGAACAGTTCAACTAGAAATAGGACAGTACTATTTGGCTCCTAAAATGCTGACATACACAAAAAAAAATTGACTTGTCATTTTCGACAGTGCAAACATCTGGTAGCAGTATCGCCAATGTAAAGAAAACTCATACTCTAAAGCATGTCAGTACTTTTTTGAAAACGAAAAAGGCTCATATATTTAGCAGAATCAAAAGCTTGTCATCTACTACGCCCATTCTAATGTGCTTCAAAACATTGACAAAAATTCTTAGAAAAACCATTAGAAACCATAATTACTTTTAATAAAAAATTGTATTGGAATCACTGAACTATTTGCAAGGTTCGACAGTTGTCAAGCTGACATTAGCATTAGGATTATTGGATATTTATAATATTCAAGCTATTTCTGTGTATAGCTGAAAAAACCCAGCAGCCACCATGGTAATTGCTCAATTTTAAATAGTGAACTAAAATGTGCATGTAAAATTACGGCTTCGAACTACTAGACTGCATAATGGCTTTCAGTGGACATGTATTCAGTAGTTAACCCAGTTACAGGGACAAGCCCATTTTACTGCCCTTTAACAGAATATTAATTGTTGCTTTATTTTCCAGGGTAATGAGAGTTCGCTGCCCATGGAACTTTGCTCCAACTGTAAGTAGACTAACTTATGATCAGAATCCAAAAAGTAATCAGTGCAACTCACTTATTGAACAGCAGCAAATATGCCCAAGGAGCTAAACTTGCAACACACATTATCACATATTCATTTACTTCTGTGGTGTCGTTAGTTTACTCTTTAGTTGGAATCGCTGGTTTTGCCAAACTGCACGTTTGCCTTTTTTCTATCAGTCTGATTTTTATTGGAAAAATTCAATGTATGTATTCACTTGATTTAGAAGATACTCAAAGAAGTCACATTAAAAAAGGAAGTATTTACAGTGTCTAAGAATGTAGTTAAAGGCTTCGTGGTCAACTTCAGGACAGGATGGCAAGGGCAAAATCAACCTGCCCATCAAAGAGCGCTTAACACACTCGTAGATGCCCACATTGTTGTTTTTTTTTGCACCAATCGGTCCAATATGCAGGGACAAGGCAGAAATTTATAATTTTTATAATGTACTTATTGTGGCGTTTCCAAATTTTTGTATGATTCACAAAGGAAAAATCGGCGAGTTTTAAACATTTTAGTCGATGCCGACGAAATACGCCGTCTCGGGAAACGTTTCCGGAAGCTCGACTTGGATAACTCTGGAGCCCTCAGCATTGACGAGTTTATGTCTTTGCCAGAGTTGCAGCAAAATCCTTTGGTTCAACGTGTCATCGATATTTTTGATGCTGATGGCAATGGGGAAGTCGACTTCAAAGGTATGCTTGAATGTAGTTGGAGGCGCTTAACATCCACCTTCACTTTCTCAATCTTGCCGTGTTATTTCTAGAATTCATACAAGGCGTTTCGCAGTTCAGCGTTAAGGGCGATAAATTGTCCAAACTGAGATTTGCATTTCGCATTTACGATATGGATAATGATGGATACATCTCCAATGGAGAACTGTTTCAGGTAAAGAAACCTAAACACTCATGGRKTTTTCGGGTTTYTAGGCCGTYCTTCGGTAGAATTTGTTCCTGACGTTTCGCAAGCACGCGTGGCTTGCATCTTCAGAAGTGCGCAACACCTGTTGTGGYTTCAATTTGACGTAAAGACGTACGAGGTGTCTCAACCACGCTTTGCATTACCAAATTTTCTTTATTTTCGYCTGGAAGTTTGTTTTTCTTTACGWTAGCAAAACTCCCGTAAGCTACAAGGTTGTCTTTCAGACGCCTAAACCTAGWTCTACCAGGTTGTCRCCTTTCTGGATATTTATTTAAATACATTTCTTCAGCTTTCGCTTCATTTCGACGACCGAGAATAAAACACTCCAACATACCGTATTTTTCATAATTTGAAAATTGATTCAGTTTGAAACACACAATTAATTACAAACACTTGACACTGACAGTAGATTCTACTTTGACAGTTACCTAGGTAATTAAAACAGACAACGAACGTCACTATGGGGAAATTGAAGAGAAATATCAATGCCTACTACCATCAATTCTTAATTTTGTTAATTTTAATTATTTATCTTGGCCGAACATAAACATCTTATACATGGTTGAAGAGCATATTTAAAGGGGAATTTAAAAATGCAGAAATTCAATATGGCGCCCATAAGAAAAACAAAAGTTGACTTCGGCCCCATTGAACATAGTGGGCCTAGATTATTTTTTACTCTATTTTCAAATTCACGCTCATTTCTTACCCCCACCCTGAAAAGTTCGTTATTGTATCTTTTATAATAAACACGATATAAAGGATTTTATAAAACGCACTTTTTTCCTTTTTCCCTGTATATCCGTTACTATTCCGAGTTCAAAGAAGTTGATGACGGATTATTTATATCAAAATTAATTTCTGGGTTTCAGTCATTTATTGTCTCTATCAATTAAAAAATTAAAATACACCGAAACGTATTTTAATTGATAAATAGAGACAATAAATGACTGAAACCCAGGAATTAATTTTGATTTGGAATTGAAACACAGTCAGGCAAGTATATACAATGAAAGATTATTTATAGGCACCTGAATGCGCAACTTTTTCCCCATTTGGTCCACTCTGTATCTTTAACGGTTTCGAATATCCCTATGTACATAATTTTATACTGGACACACTGTATATTGATATACACTGATCCATCGGAACAGTGTGAGCGTTCAAGCCAACCACTTCTGAAGATGCAAGCCACTCCTGCTTACGAAACGTTGGGAAGAAATTCTACCGAACGACGGCCTAAAAAACCGAAAAAACCATTCGTTTCAAGGAATGGCCTCGAAAGTTTATCTCTTTTGATGAAACCTAAACAGTTCACTGTTTGGTAGACAAGTTGTTTTCAACAAATGTGTTTATTGTGCAGGTCCTGAAAATGATGGTAGGAAACAACTTAAAAGACACACAACTGCAACAAATCGTTGACAAGACTATCTTGTTCGCTGATAAGGACGAGGATGGGAAGATCTCCTTTGAGGAGTTTTGCAATGTCGTTGGAAACACCGACATCCACAAGAAAATGGTGGTCGATGTCTAAATTAGGCTCGTTCGCACGGAAAACCTACAATGCAGATCCTAACTGTATAGTTAAAATCATTTAGGTTTACGTTTTAATCCCCATCACGTTATATTAATGAGTACCATTCAATTGATTAGGCCACTGTCTAATTAGGGTTTGTTCTAGTCATAACTAAATCGAACTATAAAAGTATATTTATTAAATTCGGTTAATTTCCCTTTAAAATGCATTCAATCTTAAGCAGCGACCTCCTTCGCCACTAGTAGCACGTAGAACAATATAATATCTGCTTACGCGATTACTGTAAAAAATCTATTGTCGTTGCACGAAAAGCTTGTATAGTGTTATTAACATCTATGTATTGATTGAAACGGTTGTTCTTTATAATTCTAGGTGTTGTGTGTTTAGCGCTTGAATAATCTAATATCTATAGAGTTTTGTTGATTGTTTTATATATTTATAGGCAAATTATATTGGCATGGTAGACGGGTGTAAAGCTCTTTCTGATTGCAGAGGGTGAATCAGAAGCTTCTCATAAACTTTACCATGACAATCAAATCGACTTCTAAACAACCTTAAGAAAAATACATCGAAATCGATCGGGATTTGGCTTTGATGTATATTTTTTCGTATTTAGCGGTTCATTTGATTAATAGTTTTACTACATGAGTTAATTAATTAAGGTGGTATCATATAAAGATCTATTTAATCACTCGCTACTGATAGTTGGACGTTTTCTTTGAATGTTAGTGTTAACTCTAATGCGTGGTTATATTATATGTCGGTATATGAATAAATATTATTTACCTCTCAAGATTTCGCCATTTATTTCGACTAAGCTCAACATCATGCGGTTTTAATTTCGTTCAGAATTTGAATAAGTTTGTCATTGATGATTTGGCCATCAATCTTTCGCGCCAAGGTTTCAAAGTCCGCCGTTTCTATTTCTTGGCATGGATCCGTTTTCCGGCCAACCAATCTAGCGCAGTAAAATGGGGCCATTAATCGCTCACACAGAGCAGCAATGCCGCAAAACGTGCGAAAATCCACACAATCTTGGTCATTCCAGTCAATGAGGCTGCGAAATCGGCTGGCCTCTTCCTGCCTCATTGGTCGACCCATCAGCAAATCCAAGGCATCCTGCAGTCGGTGTCCTGGCAGTTTTCTTCCAATTGCAGTTCCCTCAATTTTGAACCTGTTAAAGACACAATTGAAGAGCAATTTTCTTTTGGACGACACATTTACGTGCTCTTGGACGTACTGTAAAGGGGTCATTGTTAATAGGGATCGACTGCTCATGGGCAGTTCGAATCGGGCACTGGACCTGGTAAAGGTCCTGGGCAACGACATCCATAAGTCGGAGTTTAGCTTGGCAACTTTGAGCTCTTTTTGAAGATCACGCAGTTCCTGGCAGACGGGTTTGTCCCTGGCAGCTGATTTTAGAGCTTCTTCTAGGGCTTGTCTTCTATTGGGGTTCAACTCGCTATCTACCGTTTCTTCATCTAACTCCCTCCTGATTTGCATCAAAATTTCCGCGTCCAAAAACGAGTTAACGTCTATGGACCAGTGGGAAGCCAACATGGAGTTTCTACCGGCGACTTCTACTTTTTGCGAGGGGTTGATGGGGACTATGGAAGTTCGGGCACTTCGGTCCGGCGAATCCACTCCGATAGCTGCTACTTGCGTTTCCGGGTCTGTGGACAGCTGAAAAGCTGGAGGGCCTCGCAAAGAATTTTTCTTCTTTCGTCTTTTTCCCCTTCGTTTTACCTCCTCTTCTTCACTGGCCGTTTCACTGCGCTCCTCCCTGTTGGCTTGATTTTCGCCCCTTTGGGGCTTAATTCCCATGAGGTTTATTGCGCAAAATGCGGCCGCAGTTTTCACTTTTCTTGGCGATTGTCCAGCAGAGTCGCGATTGTCCTCCAAGCTAATGGCTCTAGCAGGAACATGTTGTATGCGGATTAAGGGCGCTTCGTTCAGAAATCCACTGTAGGGAATAGTTTCGTGACTATGCGACCTTCTGAGGTCTAAAACCAGTTGGGGCTTGCGATGCTCTGGCGTGAAGCACCTCCTGGAACCGGAAGCGTGGGTTGCAGCACTCGCCAATGTAGGTGCAGGCGTTAGCGGGCGCGAGTCTGTATCAGTATATCTCCTGAAGAGTTCCTCCGGAACACTTTCCACCTGTGGAGGCGTTCCGTCTTGCCCACAGTTGAACGGCTGCAGGTTAGCCCTAATTGCTGCCATCTCTTCCGCAAGTAACGAGTGGTTCTTGTCCTCATTTGCCCAGTTTTCCTTCGCTTTGAGGAACAGTTCCTTGGTGTCTTTGTCCATGGGGTGATTGCATAGCAAGGAGCATCCAAGGGCGTATGGGTTATACAGCCCAGCGTACGGCTTCAAAGTGAACGGTGCAGGCTTGACTACAGCCCGCAATTGCACATTCTTCTGCGTCTTGTTTTGATAAATCGTTTTTATGGGGCTTGCGGTTAAACCGGTTCTACTTGTTTGCTTCATGATGGCCACAAACCACTGCAGACTTCCATTCGAAGCACCATGGGGACGACTTATCGATTATACAGGGCCATGCCAGTATTATCGCGCAGTTCTGAAAAAGGGTTTTGAGAAGGTGAAAGTTAACTGAGCAATAAAAAGCGCCTTTTTAAAGGAACTTCGTATTTTCTTAGCCACATTACATACAAATATAATAACACTTTAATAAACTGAAACTGTTTCAAAAAAGGGTTTTGTTATTACTGGGTTCCTCTGAACGGCTCACATTAGCTATCTCCTTTTATTTTCTGAACTCCTTCTAGTAAGTGGAATTAAGGAAAACCTACAAACAACATTTTCCTACAAAGACAAATACTAAACACTGGAAATTCAATCAAAATGCTCAAATTACACCAGCACGAATTGTATTTAAAAAAACTGATAAAAAAGCTTCCTGATATTCTGTTCTAAATTAATTTAGACGGCTTCTGCGATATGATAAAGGATATTGTTTCTCCCTCGACTGGCTGCGCTCATGCGACCGCTCCCTGCTACTCGAAAATTGCGGCGATATTTCCTGAAAAAATCAAATTGAGTCAACATTTCAAAGATGAAGCTTCCCGCTCTCACTCTTATGTCTCTGGTTTCTCGCATCTCAGCTTTCCTATGGTGTTTCTCTCGGAGGGGTGGAGCTGATATTTCGATTTTTTCTCCATTTTGATGAGACAGTAACTTGGCTGAAAGACAATTATATTTAAATTGCGTTTTTATCTGGCGCATAATAAACTAAAAAATAAAAAAGTTTTTTTAAATAAACAAATTAAAATACTTGAGTGCACAAATGCACTCTTTCAACTAACACTTACCTTTCTCTTCTTCACGTCTGCGTTTTGCGAGCTCCAGTTGAAGGCTTTCCTCTAGACGATCCTAAAAAAGCGTTCGCTTCATATGAAATATCCAAGCAATGATGAACGCGCAATGCAAATAAAAGCTTTTGTGCAATATACAAATAAATGCGAAATAAATGTCTTGAAAACACAATTTAACTGTTAAGATTTGATTGGAATTCGCATGATTGGCAATGACCAAAAGCAACCCAACAATAGAATAAATAGATAAGTTTAAGTGGGGCGCAATTTGGTTGGCTAAATCTTTCAGAAATTTCAGATTTATCGTTGGTTCAACTAGAAGAATATTCTCAGACAACCTTTAATGCATTAGTTAAAATAGAAACTATGTATTGTTCACCCATTTTTTATTAAAACTAAAAATAAACTGAATAATCAAGTACAGCGTAAAATGTAATACAAATCAATAAAGGTAATTCTAAAGGTGCTTAGATTGACAACTTATACAGTGTTAGTTAATGCGTGGGATACTAGCTGACACATACCCGTTTCCGATTGAGTTTTCGATCTTTTTTCAGCTCTTTGTCCTCTTCGCTCAGCTTCTCCCGTCGCTTGCTCGCCGATCGCTCTTTCTTTTCGATTTTTTCTGGATAATCAAGCAGTTGACCGGCAGCAACTTTCCGCTCACCATATTTGGCAGCCTGGAAATAAATAAAATCATACAATTCGGTGCAAATAGAAAACTAGATACACAGTTAATATACTGAGCAATTCCAATTCTATTGTTTTGCAATTGATCAAGTGAGTGTAATCTGAAATTCTTTGCAGTTATCAACCAAACAGGTTGCATTTTCCTACAAGCATTGCCACACCGTAGGTATAGACAATTTTATGGGTTGAATATAGATTTTTAATTATTTAAACTGTTCAATTAATACATGAATTGGATATTACCTTTGGAAGTCTGGTCAACCTTGCAAGGCCAAACACATAAACGGGATCGCAACAATTAAGTTTTTTTTTAACAAAAAGTCGTTGGAAAGCACCTGCAAAAACCTTATTCAAAAACTATACTTACCTTGGAAGCGTGCCATATTGAGACACTCAGTGGTGGAAGATTGGGCTGACTGATCCAACACACTTTAAAAGAAACAATGCAAGCCCGAGCAATCGCTGCCGAATTTAAAACCGTATGACAAAGACACTTCCAAGCGCCCCTCGGTAGCCCCGAAATCGGCTTCCAGTTGATTTTCATTCCTTAGCGCGAGACATGGAAATGTTTTCCATCGAATCGCGAAGCACTACTTCTCTTCTTTTTCGTTAAATTTGTGACTTTTGCAGTTGGTTTTAAGATTTTCTTTGTAAGCCGCAATGGGTTTTAATCAGCTCGGATCATTTTTCTTCAAGCAGTTTCCTTTCTTAAACGTTATTGAGCTCTGGCGAAATATGGGATCTTTCAATATTAGAGCGAGTTCATGTTCTTCATTCAGAAACATGTTCTTCCGTCTATGCTTTTAACTCTTGAGTTCCGTCTCTGAGTGCGGGTCAATAGAGTAATTATATCTTGATGGATGGATGGATGGATGAACATCATCGTTTCTACATTGTTCAACTACTGGTTAAACTAATATCCTGGTTCCTTCTTCAGTCAGCCTTCGTTCTTAGGTTTTGCGTCTGCCATTTATTCCTAGGCTAGTCTTGTCTTATCGTTCAAAAATTGGAGTTTGCAATATTTGAGATGTGCGGTTTGGCTTCTAGTTGTCCTCACGTTCATTACTACTTATTGAGTGGTTAGCAGCCCAATCTCCCGGATTGAATCTGAAACGTGTACCGATGCTACCTTTTTCCGATACTAACCTTGGCGGACCCAACATCCACTTTTCTTCTTTTAATATCTGAAACAAAACGCAATTTTGTTACAATCCGGCGCCCTCATTGCAGTTTTTTAAGTAACTAACGCCAAAAAGACTCAGCAATTTAAAGTTACCTCTCTCAGGTTCTGGATCGGAGACATGCTTGCTCATTGTTGTTGAAGAACCCGAATTATCCCGCTCACTGATATCTTTATGATAGTAACTACTTCGCTCTTCATAAAATCGATCTTGTCTTTCAATCGAATACCGCTCTTCCTTTGGGCTTACAATTTCAATGTATCTGTCTTCCTATTATGATTAAAATACATTTAAATGAACATATCCACAGAAATGTACTAATGTAAACATACCTTTGGATCGACAGATCTTTTATTTCTGTCTTCCAGTTCTCTATCATCTATGCGGTTTCTCTTCACATCTCTTTCTAATTCAATTAAATTTCGTTTTGCCTCTTCCTTCTTCAAATATTTATCTTTTTGATCTTCCCTAGTGGGCTTGTCTTCGCGTCTTTCCTTATCTCCAGCACTACAACAGCAATAAATTCATTATACTAAATAATGGCAATAGAAAGTGATTTTACTCACATTTGATCTGTACTGCTTGAAGCTGCTCTTTGCAATTTGCCGTCTTCTGAAGATACACGCGCTGGTTTTTTCTCTTGTTGCATGAACACTTTTTCTGCATAAACAATTGGGTTTTAACAACATCGAGCATTTGAGATTAAGCAGATGCCTTACCTTTTGGTTCACCATTATGCCTGTTCAGGTCCTTGCCATTTGCAGCTGGCGCTTCCGGACTGGGTTTTACCACCTAAAACATTTTTTTCTATTTGATACACGATACAAATACAGAGTGAACGCAATAATAAAAAATATTTGAAATTTGTAGATTTATCGATGATTATACCGATAGAAGATATTGATTTCAACTACCTTATCTTTCTCGACAGGAATATGAAAATCCCCTTCCTTCATCATTTGACCGCTGGTCAGTCTTTGCTTTAGTTGCCCTAAGTAGCTAATTGCCAATGTAAATAAGTCTTGTCTATTGTTCTTTTCTTCATCCCTCACTTTTTCTATTCTTTTTTCGAGAAATTGAGCTGCAAACCATAAAATTCCAACTTAGATCAACTCAACGGGTCGAATTTAACTGTAGGTACAGAACAGCGGCTGAACTTACCCAATTTGATCAGTACAGGGAAGAAGGGAATGATTTTTATTAAAATGATCAACGAATTTCTGATTTGTACGTAATCCTTAGACTCCAGGCACGTTACGACCGCCTTGGCTAATTTATAATGCCACTTATGGCAGACATGTCTATAGTTTTCGAATCCCACATTGTCTGAACTATCAGCGGTATGATTGCTCACTCTAAAACAAGATGAATTATGCATTGACGTTTTGTGGACTGCGAGAAAAATAAGTTCAGTATTACTATCAGGAAAAGAACAAATTTACCTATATTTGGTCATAAAACCGGGATAATTAGAACACTCTTTTTCAAAGGTTTCCTTAGATTTGTGCCATTTCATCACGGTTTCCAGCATGGCAAACAAAAATCGGCCGTACCTCAACGCCTCATTTTCAGTGCACGATATTATAGAATAAGTAACATCACAAAACAACTAAAAAATTACTTCTTCATCACGTACATTTAAAGCGGTTTGTGCAAATCCTTACCCTATCATAGCAAAGAAGAGTAGAAAAGTTTTCCGTTTTCAACATGTGGATGGTGTGTACAAATTTTGCGCAATACACCGCGTCGATCTGAGTGAATGTACATCTGGGAAACAGGCAAAGCTGCAAAAATCTGGTTATTGACTCAGTTTTCGCAGACTTTCCGGCTCTTAGCAGAAACCAACTGCTTTTCTCCTGTTTCAATCTGAAAAGGACCTTTTCCACATGCTCGGACTGTTTCTTTTTTTCGTCCATCAGTTTCTCCACTAAGGAAAGATGACGCTCTTGTTCTTTCTTCCCTGAAAATAATACAACTGATTGAGTATTCTTCTCATAGTTAAATTATAAATGCTTAAAATGGAAATAAGCATTTTTCATAATGTTGCTCAAGATGTAACACACGAAAGTTACCTTTAGCTCCAAGACTTTCTACGGCCGAAATTGACTGCTGTTTGGCCTTATTAATAACTTGTTGGTAAATATCTTCGGGTACACACAAGTCGTACATGGTTAACGACCAAAACGTAGCTAAAAACTGAGGACTGATATCTTCCCAGGTTTTTGGAGAATGTAACGGCAACAACGAGCTGTGCACTGGTTGCATTACTTCTTTGACTGCATCATAATATTTCTGAATTTTAATAGAACTGGACATTTTCTTATAGTTTGGATCTGCCTTACGCAGCTGATCGTATTTTTGCTAAAAGTTAAACAAGTCTTTCAGTTTCATTACAGGGCCCATAATTTCATAGGCTAACTCTTACATTTATCGAATGATTGAACATAGGCCTCGCCAAGAAAAAAGCGACTTCTGTGGGTATATGGTAATTTAGCAGCATACACTGAATCGTTGGCAGTTTGTTAATGTACTCTTCCACCGTCAGTGTCGAGCCCAAAAATGTTCCAAATTGCACCAAAGTGTCTTGGCATTGATCGGATAGCTTGCCCACCAACTTAAGATGACTTTTTTGCGTCTCCCTATAAACAACGCAGTAATTCTGTTGAGCCATCAGCAAACACAGCGCTACAGCCAAGTCGTTTTCGTTCATGGCTTCTTTGAGTCGCAGGGATGATCTCTTAGTGTTGCGAATTTGACTGAAGTATCCAGCCTACAAACGAAAGCTTAAAATATTGCAAAAAGCGTTAATGCTCGAATTACCTCTCCTTTCAGCATTTCACCGCCGGACATCGCGTACAACTGCTCCATTGTAGAATCTTCGTTTGGTTCCACTCCAGCCATCTTTTGGACTACTTCTTTCAATATAAACAAATCCAAGCTGGAACATTAAAAGCTAATCTATGAGAGCTAGGAAATGACCGACTAATTACCTTTTTTGGGCTTTCAGCTGATTTGCCACATATTGCAACAATCCCGTTAATTCGATGGAATATTTTTTGTATACAGCTCCAGAGAATACAGATAAGCTTTGCAACCACATCGAAATCGAAGTACTGTCATGTTTGACTCTAAAAGGTCGGGAATTATTTGGTTTAATACCAGTAGATTTGCACGATGATTTACCTTTTCTTATCGGCCAGGCACAGATTTTCAATTACACAATAACCGAGAACATCATATGATAGATTCGTCAAATATTTCAACGAATCGACCACCGGATTTATCAAGTTACTGTAAACCTGAATTTGCAACAGGACATAGTCAAATAAAAATCCTGGTGAACAATGAGTTAATTTTCCAATCAACCGTCCCACTGGCTTTACGTTCTCCTTGCTCACTCGCTTCATTATATTTTTAATTTGCTTCTCGGCATCACCCCGCTTTTTCATCAGTGGCGGATAGGCAGAATACGTATCATTTTTCCATCTAGCATACAGGCAATACCTGAAAGATCCGACATTGAGCAGCTGTGCGAAGAAATGACCAAATAAATCATACCTAATTTGATACGGATAAAACTTGACTAAATTCCAAATCTCTTCAGCAATGCAACAGTTGCAATCCAAATAAGACAGCGATGGCAGTATGGTCTCATCAAGAATGGAAATTATTTCAAAGTATAAACCATCATCTTCACGAGGCGTAAACGCTTTTCCTGCTTCAACACCCATTTCTTGAAGCACTGCCCTAAACAACCTGATGGTTTTACCTGGAAACAAGTAAGCACAAGTAAACACAAATGTGGTTTAAAAGTTATAAATTGTTTACTTAATAGAACCGAGTCATAATGAAGCGACGACCCTAAACAGATCAACATTGGCAATACCGTTTCCTTCAAGTCAGTAAAAGTTAGGGCTGCTTTTGGAGCAAGAGGGTTTGAATAAGGCCGAACCGGCTGACGGTTGATATTGGGGCCCAAAGCACAGTTTCTAAAAAAAATAACTCAAATTATATGCATTCCTTCGAATTCCGATGTTACTTACAAGGAATAGACTGGTTCAATAAGGGCATGCAACAAGTTGCATAGAGATAAAGCTATTGGCTGGAATCCAATGGCAAAGTGTTTCGGTAACAAGTTAATAAGGGTTCTGGCGTTCCCCCAGTCTCCAATAGAAAGCAAAGCTTCACAAAGCCCTGAAAAACGTCTAATAAGTTTCCAAGACCAAAAGATTAGGAGCTTGCTTACGCAGTTTTTCATTTCCAACGAAAAGATCCTCAACAGACTCTGCGTCGTCCTTGTCGTCTTCCTTTTCCTTGTTATTTATCGAGATTATTTGCAATTTGCGAACATATTCCGCCGCATCTTTCAACGCTTTTTCACAATGTTTCTTGATTTCCTTTTCGTCGGGACTCAGCTGGAATATTGCATTAGAATCAACTGCCAACAAGTATAACGATCTCACCTTGGAGTAGATGTGGTCCAAACTTATTAAAGAATGCTGCAGCAAATAAGCAACCAATAGGAAAAATGATGCCGGGATGTCTTCTCCGGTGTTCTTCAGAAAAGCCAATTTGGTAGACAACACCTCGCTTATTATACTGGGATCCTTAATGTATAATTCAATGAGGGGAACAAAAATGTGGGCATCTTTCGTTTTGTTTTCGAAGCTTTCGAGGATTATGTCCAGGACTCTGTTTGGATCCAAATTAAAACATCCTGCCTCAATTAATGTAATGATTAATATTGCTGTTATGGAAAAATGTATTGAGTTTTTTACCGATTAGGGAATGCACTATATCAATAAGGGCAGCTGGGCTAGTGTTTTCATTGAATTCCTTATTCAATTCAGTTTGCAACTTGGCAAATCCTTCGCACTCTTCTCTAAACAAATTGAACTTTCTTTGCTTGTAACTGAAAACATTTTAAGTGTTAAACAGTGAAGTCGATACTGATTGATAAATGACAAACTTACTAGAGTTTAGTTTTGATTTTGATAAACTTTGAGTAAAACGTGCGGTTCTTTAAAATGCCCACTTCTTGTAAAGTTTCAATTTCCAATCTTTCCTTTAGAAGTTTCTCTGAAAGAAACTGAAAGAAAGTTTAAGGTAAGCAACTTTTCCGAACCTGTAAGACGCTCTACTCATACCTTTTCGCAATCTTTAACAATGCTACAAAAGTTCGCGCGATCTTTCGCATCGTCGCTATCAATTTGCGATGTGATTCCATCGGCCACATTTAACACGTCGCAGATTACAGATGCTACATCTGCGTGAATTGACTGGAAATACTTCAAATTTGAGTTTCAAAGCAGTAAAAACTGATCGATCTTACCACAAGCTCTTGCAATGCAAGTATTACAGCCTCCTTTTTCAAAACTCCTTTAATGCCTTTATCAATTAATTGAAGCACATAGCTGGTGATCGTAGGCATTCTGTTCGTATGGTCAAAGATCGAATTATCAGAGTCATTTTTCAGCAAGGTTTCACATGCTCGAATGCTGTAGAAAAAAATTGAACATTAGATTTTCGAAGCAGGTCTATTGGTTAGTTTTATGTAAAACATTTGCGCTTTTGCCTATACAGATCCATTCTGTTTTGATTAAATATTGCATCAAAGTTAATACGCCATGCTTCTGGCTGCTGTGATACAGCCCTAGAGCTGAACTCAACTATAACCGGATGTTGGTGTTTCCAATTTACGGTTTCAATTAACGCTGTGCATAATTTATAGGTAAAATCCAGCAAAGTCTTTTAATAATAAAGAGTGTTTTTTATATAATTTAAACCTTTCATAACCTGAAACTTGCTTTGTTTACTGTTTGGATTGTGTGCGGGTGTAAATTAAGCAAAATAAGCAACTATACTTACAATTCTTGCCGACCACTTTTCTCCCAGTTCTCCCATAAATTGTTTGTGAAAACATCACCCATAATTATGATTTAATAATAAAATTCGCAACGAAATCTTCAGTTGGCGCTTGGCATTTTCCAAAGAAATTTCACAACCAACAGTTGACAGAAGAAATGACACGAATTGGCATCAATCAGTGGAGCCAACATTTTCTTTTTTATTGGCTCCACAGAATATCCCCCCGCAGAGTGTGATCTGTGTACATAACATAACCCACAAATAAACCTGTCTTCATGATAGAGTAAGTATAATAATTTATTAATTATTTTACTTTCTCAATGCTCAATGGTCTTCATCTATGCTCTTTGCAAATAAGCAGTAAATCAACCTCGGAATCAACGTTTTGAGCTACTGTTCTTTATCTATGGTTGTGAGTAGTGAGTAGCCTGTGGTTTTAATTACATCTGAGCTAATTGGTTGTTTTTGAGCATTGATTGGAAACTATGGATAATGAAAGAGAAGAAATGAACGACTCAGAAAATAAGGCAGCTTATTTTAACGAAACGAGCAACAGTTGCCCAATGGATGTTGTGAAGGAAGAAGGAACCAGTGCAAGGTGTCCTTTCAAGAAACCTCTTCAAGAGGCAACCAAGTTTCACATATTAGATGAAACTGAAGAAAAGTATGATTCCGATGGATCAGTGGACTACGATTCAGACATACCAGACGATGAGATCGAAAAGATGCTTGAAGAGGCACTGGAGCGGAAAAAGAGAAAAGCTGCCGAGGCAGGACTAGACGCCGACAGCCTAGAGGTGCCCTTTGAGGAGCGCACCAAAGTGGTGGTGTTGGAAAAGGGCAAAAACCATTTCGACGTGTTGCCAGAAGAATGGCTGCAAGTGACTCACAACAGTGGCATGCCAATATTTTTACATAAATCGACCAGAGTATGCACTTTGTCCAGGCCTTACTTTTTGGGGCCTGGATCGGCGCGGAAACATTTGATCCCTGTGAATGCCATTCCTTGCCTGAACTATCGCAAGGCGTTGGAACATGAGGCCGCTCAAAAAGAGCTGAACCTGCCGGTTGAGGAGAAAAACTGCCTTACGGAGAACATGCCCAATGCCAAAATCGAAACAGTGCAAGAGAACATTCAAATGCAAAACCTCACACCAGATGATCTGAGGGAGTATTGCAAAACTCTGTTCGAATTTCAGTCGATCAACGTGTTGAGGTTCAAGTCCTGGTCTGAGAGGCGCAAATTCACCAAGCGACGGAAGCAAGAGAGTCAACTGCAAAGACCCACGCTCCCAGATGGAACTAAACTGATCACATTCCCGATCAAAGCATCGGACACGAACGAGAAGGCCAACCCGAACTGCAGAAAGGAATGGATAATGAACCCAAATGGAAAGTCTTACGTGTGTATTTTGCACGAGTATGTGCAGCATGCCCTGAAGAAGCAACCTACCTATGTATTTGCTGAACTGGAGAACGCCGCCACTCCCTATGCGGCCACTGTAATGATCAAGGACATGAAGTACGGGATTGGATATGGAACCAGTAAGAAACAGGCCAAGTCTGAGGCAGCCAAGTCAACCTTGGAGATCCTGATTCCTGAAATGAAGTCCAAAATTACAGCTGATGCTCAATCTGGTGAGTGCTTAAACGTTTGAAAGCTTTCGCAACTAAACTCCATTATTATTCCAGGCTGTACAAAGAAAGACAAGGACCAAGATCTGTCTTTCTTCGACGAAATTCGCGTGGAAGACCCGCGGGTGGCGGAGTTCTGCGCAAAAACCACCGAACCAGCCCCCTACGACATTTTGCTCACTTGTTTGCAGCGCAATTTCGGCCTGGACGATCTGAAGATTCACTACCAAGGAAACACGTCGAAACACCAAGGAAACGAATTTACAATGACGGTTGGCAAGTACACGACTACAGTGGCATGCAAGAACAAGCGTGATGGCAAACAAAGAGCTTCACAGAGCATTTTGCAAATGTTGCACCCCAGTATTACGTCGTGGGGCTCGTTGTTGCGACTTTATGGAAACCGGTCGGTAAAGAGTTTCAAGGAGAAGAAAATGGAGGAACAAGAGATTACCTGTCTGCAAAGCAGGGCGGCCCTGAACCAGCCCAACTATGCTATTTTAAACAAGCTTAAAGTCGAACTGGGCAAACTGAATGAGAAGCGGAAATCCATCAGGCCAATTGGCATGCTGGACACCGTTGAGAATAAGGTAAACCTGTTAAACGCTTGAAGGTTGGAAATGTAACTCCAGGCAGTCAAAGTCCCAGGGAAAAATGTTCTCTTTGTGCGATCTCTGTACCCATAGATAAAGATGTGGATAATGACAAGTCTTTCTTGCTATTTGTTAGCTTTTGTTGCAATGCTGATAACATTAGTAAAACTACCCGGTTTGACTGAGCCGTGTTTATCTATAGGGTGATTCAAAATTGGCGTCATTCCTTTTAAGGGGCGATAGAGGCTCCCTTGGGGAGCACGAGAAAAATATTGAAAATTTTTTTTCGAAAATTTTTAGAGGATATTAACAGTTGCAGATCGAATTTCAACTTTGCTATTAAGCATTATTTTAAAATGGTTCCATGTTTAATTGGTAGCATATTGGAATACTTAAGCATTCAAAAAGAAAAATTACGATTTTTGCTTCAAATTACAAAAATTTTTGACATCAAAAAAGTTCTCTTCTACAAGTTTTTGATGAAAAGGCACAGCGGCAATGATGTTTTTTGTCATTGACAGATAGTTACTGGTGAATAGCTCTTGTCATTCATAACAATAATTTGTCAAACTGTGACTTACTTTGAATTTCCTTTCACGAATTTGCGGATATACGATTAGTTCAGGGGAAATGCTGCTACAGTAAGATAGCAGAACCTGAAAGAACTTGCTGAGCGTGGAAGTTCGTAATAAACGGAAAGTGAATATACAACTAACCTAAAAAGTGATCCTTATGTCCGGAAGTTCGTTATAAGCAGTCAAAAAATACGTTGGTCTTTATGGATGACGTTTCAATTAAAGGAAAAAAGTTTGTTTAACCGAAAGTTCACTATAACCGGGTTCAGCGAGATGACCGTAGAGAGATAACCGAGTTCATTATAAGCGAACTTTACTGTATATTTTCAAATTTTCAATCAAAGCTGGTTTTTGTCATTAACAGATAGTTACAGGTGGATAGCCCTTGTCAATAATAACAAATAATTTGTCAAACTGTGACTTACTTTGAAGCTCCTTGAAGCTGAAATAACTCACGCCAAAAAAAGGGCGAGGAGAGTGGCTTGAGGACGATAGATGTTCCGGTTCCAAGCACAGAGGAACACGTATTGGACATAACCGAAACAGGGCCTTCCAGGGGCACTCAGAGCACAATAACTGACACTTTCCCAAGCACCAAATAATGCCGAGGAAGAGCTACATTCCTACCACGTTTGTACCATACACACAGCACAAGGAGATACAAATGGAGCAGGAGTTAATTAACTGAATACGAGAAACTGCTTGATAAGAGTGGATAATAAGGAGATTACACAGGCAGTAGCTTGTTTGGTGTTGTAGAGTTTATTTATAAACACCCATATTCGAGGTTATGAGAACATGTTGACATTTCGTCAACAAATCTTGTTGAATTAACCGTTTATCCTCATGATACAATGAATACAAGGTAGGATCTTGCGTCGATTTGCGTGACGTCAGTGGAAATAACTGCCTGGCGTGCTTTTTTCCTGTCTGCTAAATGGGATTAACTATAGCTTATTTAGTCTTTGTCACATTTAATTATTTTTTTTATAAATCCTTCTTATAATTACAAGATGCTTTGCAGCAGATTTTAGACTTGGAAATTAAAAGTAACGGAAATGTTTTTATTTTGCAGACTAGCACAGTTGCCAGTTGTCCAATAAAGTATAGCGTTAGCTGAAAATGTATCCCTGCAGAAATAGTACATTACGATTCACGAGACGGAAGTTCAAACAATGACGCAATGTTACTTTCCTATTATTTATGACGGAATATGCGGTTTGTGGTGCCGTGGATGATATGTAAATTTTAATACAAATGAAATGACTGCACACCGCATTTTTTATATTTCTGAATCGACACTTAAAAGTAGCAAATAATCTAGAGTGCACTTTCCAACTACCAGTCGCAAAATGCTCAGTTTTGTCTACAACATTTCCAAATATGCCTAAACGTCCCGATGATACAATGAATTTATTGTACGACAATGAATCCATTGTATGATACAATCAATTCATTGTATGAACAGCGCATTCATTCATTGTGATACAATTAATTCATTAGTTCGTTTGGCTCAATCCGATTTCTCAAATGACAGTCTGACAACACAGCACGCTAAAACGCTAAAAATCAGAGATTTTGTAAAGAACTATTTAAAGTATTTTTCTTCCCGATAAGCCTAAATCAGGTCCCAAACGCGATTTTCAAAGCATTGGGCTATGCAATGCTGCAAACCATATCCTCATATAACTTTCCATTTTTGAACTATTGCGTTTTGAATTCAGTGAAAATTGGTCTAGGTTACATGCATTTTAAATGGGATCAGCTGTTCACTTTATCAAAGTGGTAACCAGCCACGTCATGTGCGCAGTAATATGCGTAGATGCGAGTAATATCCTACCTTGTATTTATTGTATCATGGTTTATCCTTGTCTATCTTATTGTCAGTCTGTATAATTCCATGGTTACCGGAGTTGAAACCTCGTTGGTGCCTTGAAAAACATAGCTGCCGTATTTCTGATATAGTTTTTTGCAAATTTCTCAGTTTTTATTAATAATTAATTCCTTTTACTATTTTTTCTGTACTCCTATAACAGCGCCAGACCAACACCAAGGAATGACGCCAGTTTTGAATCACCCTGTATGTGGCATGGGTAGGAGAAAGTAGGGTAGACAGTGTGCTCTTTAAATACATTCTAGAATACAACTAGGTAGTTTACAATTAAATGACTTTGACAACAAAAACAGTGTTTTATTTTAAGCTGGATGAATTCACTTTAGTTTTGGCAAGAAAGGATTGAATCGCCGTGGAAATGCCCGATTTCACGCTCAAACAATCAAAACTGCAACAATACAACAATACATAGTGTTTACAAAATAAACCACCAAAAACTGATTTCCTTGTGGCAAATTTGCCCACAGTGGCAACCCTGACACGATGAATGCGCAACAAAAAGCTGTCAACCGCCATATTGTTTTACCGGCCATTGTTTAAGATGGCCGACGGTTCTGCTGTAGGTTGCGGTTGCTTTTACCATATTTTATAAGTTCAATTACCGTTTAGTGCACAAAATCTCGTGTATTCTGTGGATATAAGCAGTGATAAGTCCTAGTTGTTAGTCCCAGTGGTAACCAGCCACTTTGAACGCTAATGCGGAGTGAACTTTGTGATTACGGGCAAACGTTTCGACCTCAACTGTCAATCGTCTTCAGGTTGCCTGACAGCTTGACACGTGGTCTGGCGTCAGCAAAACCAGCAAATCAAATAGCGTTTATCTGTAATGAGGTAGAGTAACACACATAACATAACATAGTAAGTAAAATGTTTAGTCTGGCAGTTGAGGTTAATTCTCTGTAAGATTCTATCCGGTGATCTGCCTCTTCTGGTGAAGTAAATCAAGTGTTGGGTTATGGATGCTTAAGCACCACAACATTACATGTAATTGTTACATTTTCTATGGTTGATAAGCGGGATGTTTTGCTGCAAACGAATCATTCAAAATAAGCGATCGAATTGACAGGTTTTAAGTGTCACGGGAACCAAATGAATTCGAATATTTTAAATCGAGCTCCAAATCATCTGTTTACGCGGCAACGCAGCATCAGGCGGTTTGACAGGGAAGCCATTTTGTTTGGTTTTACTGAAAAGTTAGAGTCTGTGAAATTTGCCAACTTTCCATCAAACTGAGAGCGTTTGCAACAAGTTTAAATTAATTGAAGTGTTAAATGAAACTATCGGTTTGCTTTAGACACGTGCAGGTAAGTGTACATTGCCCATTTAGCAAAAAATTGCGAGTCATGCGCGCGTAGTGCAACCTGGCCAGCATGTCAACGTTTCTATAGATCAGTTTACGCGTACATCTTCAGGTTGTGGCTTGTCTATCAAACAACCTGACATTTAGTGTATATTGTGTTTTAATCGCTAATGCCAGTATTACACTACTCACTTTCCCCCGATTTATTGGACCAGTTACTGAAGGGCCACCAGATATGCATGATGGTGAAAAATGTATGGGAACTTTTAGGTCTATTTGTATTTTGGCAACTGTCCATTGGTGCTGTTGGCAGCTAATGTCGATCTGAGAATACTAGGAATTAGGGGAATCCTTGGGTTTATGTTATTTTTTGTGTTTACAATCGGTGAAGTGTGTATAAAATCTGTGAAATTCAGTATATGAAAAAGAAAAGTTGCATCAATTTATTAATTTAATAATATTAATTTATTAATTTAATTTAATTTTATTTATTAAGAAAATCCAAGTTTAAAGTCTATGACGATAAAGAAGATGATTTTCAATACTAAACCCACTTTGATGGTTGACGAACAAATCTCATAATAGCGCGTAGTGTAATACAGGCATAAATGTTGTAAACAAATTTCGTTGAACATTAAAATGCGCTATTGAAAAACCGAGTAAGCAAAATTACTAATTAAGTATCGAATTTTTCGTTTTTTCTAAGAAAATGGCGGCGCTACCGCGTTAGGTAAACGACAAAATCACGTTATCAGGTATTTGGATCACGACCAACCTTAAAATGTGTTAACGAACTGTATATGCGTAGAAACGCAATATCAGCTAAATTTAGGGCATTTAGGGTAAGTGATTTTGTACTTGAAATGGATGGATGGAATGGAAAAGAAGAGGGGGCAATTTTTGGGTTTTTAAATCAATATACCCACCTACGTATTATTAAAATTCGACGCACTTAAACCTTCTGCAAGAAGTGCATCCTCTTAGCAAACACTCTGTATACAGGGTGATTTAAAATTGGCGTCATTCCTCTGGAGGTGTTGTCTGGCGTTGTTTTAGGAGTACATAAAAATATTTAAAAAAAATGAATTTATTAATTGTTATTAAAAACTGAGAAATTTGCAAAAAACTACAGGGTGATTCAAAATTGGCGTCATTCCTCTGGAGGTGCTGTCTGGCGCTGTTATAGGAGTACAGAAAAAATAGCAAAAGGAATTAATTGTTATTAAAAGCTGAGAAATTTGCAAAAAACTATATCAGAAATACGGCAGCAATGTTTTTCAAGGTAATCTGCCTAATTCGCGCCATTAGTGATGTCGTAATGACATTTGATGTGTTGCGGTAGGTCAGGTTTTTCAACGGTATTTTTGGATTTACCGATTTTGTGTGCCTTTAACGTGTTTAACGGTATATGGTTTGAAACATCTCAAATAGTTTAGGTAAGATCTTTAGCGTAGCTTCTCGGAAATATATCGATTAAACTTGATCATTTTTATGTTATCTTGACAGCATCAAGAATATTTAGGAGTTTCCAGCTGTAGAATTACATTTTCGGGCAAAAAGTAAGAGATACATAATTAAAACGTATGTATATTCAAATAGAATCTTATTTTTAAACTTCAGCGGCAGAAAAGCATATCATAAAGTTCAGTTTTATAACATTTTTTTTAACTAAACGCCAAACAATTAGCTTGAGATCTAGATCAAACACGTTGGAGGCACACAAAATAGGAAAATCCAAAAATTCAGTTGAAAAAGGTTCAATGTTTGGATTAAAAACCCTATTAAAAAATTAATTCAGTAATTCATTGGTTTAATGTGATCTTACATACGTGGTAGGAATGTAGCCGGTATTTATTTGGTGCCTGGGAAAGTGTCAGTTGTCGTGTAATGTTCTGAGTGCCCCTGAAAGGCTCTTCTGTTCTGCAAGTATGGCAAATACCTTCTTGTTGTGCTATTCTGCGCGCGCTCTGCTATTACTGTTTGCTTCAACTTTAACCGCAAAACATTGGTCTAGAACATACACTATAGCTTTGGTCGCACGTCATCAGTGACGAAATTTGACTACCAACATAAAAAGAATTATGCATGCAATTAGTGTGCAAGTCGAATCTTTTTTGTTGCGTTTTGAGCATTGGAGGCCCTCAAGCAATCATAAAATGCGAAAGAACTTTATAATACCGCCTAATTTAGAGCGATGTTGATTATTTATGTTCGTCTTTAAAATTATTAGTGGTGGTGAAAATTACAATGCTGCCGAATCGATCGAAAATTTTTTAATAACACATGACGTTTGCGGTTGCATTTGTCATGTACTTGTCCATAACGTTTGCGTTGACGGTGTATTTGTTCTTTTCAAATAAACCATTATTCCATAAAGAATAATCAGCAAAAGCGAGACCGCATTGAGATAATTTAATACTGCATTTTGTAATTTTAATTTTAATACTGTATTTAATATGGCAACAACGCTCGACAGATGACTGATGACGTGCGACCATAGTACAGTTAAATTTGGGTTCATTTAATTTCAGATTTAATAAAATGGACGCCGATGCGATTGACTTAACTGTGCCCCTGGAGGAAATATTGAAGGAAGCGAATTGGCCAGCAAAAGTCTTGAACGAGGAATTTTCTCTATTGGCTGAAAATGGGACGGGATGTGAGAAAGACCCAGACAACAAGAACGTCTTGGAAAAGTTGTTGAACAGTTACGACGACATTCCTACAAAAACTGAACTAATCAGTGCTGAAACTGAGCTCGGATTCAAAAAGCAACAACCGCCAGTTATAGACACTATATTAATTTCTGACGATGATGAAGCGGACGAAGTTAACAACGGTGAAAGTGCAAGTGTTACAGAAGTGGAAGTGGAAGAAGTTAGTGATTACAGCAATGGTTGCTCCAGGGGTTCATCCAGTCAGGGTGAATTTGGTACTTTTGAAGTAACCAGCAGTGGTAAAATCAGTAGCGAAAGTGTTAATACGTCTGAGAGTAGCTGGGCTTCGTCGCAGTCCAAAAAGCAAGGAAACACTGGCACTAATCCACAACAGCATGCGCACTTAATATTCAAAGGAAAGGTTATTCCATTGCCGATTGCAGAATGTTCTGCCACGACTGATCATTGGGACGAACCGGACCAATCACGTGGGCTTTGCGAAGGAAATCCCTCTGAATCATGTGACAGTGACTTAAAAGATTGCTTGAGGCCTGATCCAGTACGTGGCAATGCCAAAAATAATCCTCTTTGCGGAGGTTCGGTGATGAATGGATCTGATGTTGAAGATGCTTTCGTTTTGTCACGTTTTCAAATTCCTGATGATAACGACCCGTTGAGGCTTAATGGGATAGACTGTAGTGATTTAAAAACGTTTTCTGAAGAGTCGGCGACTAGTTGCTCTTCTTCTTCTAATGCTCCAAAAGAACTGCTTTGTGAAGACTCTTCGCGGGCGAAATCGGAATGTGATAATGTGTCAAAGATAATCTATGAAAACTCTCAGGACAGTGACTCAGAAGCTGGTCCTCCTGAGAAATCATTGAAAACTCGAAATGTGTCGATAGGTGGCAATGTTTTACATATGCCAATTTCCAAAGTTACTTCGATAGCGGACTTGATATGTGATGAAACGTTGGCAATTCCAGATGGCGAGTACGAATTGACGCCCGATCCTTTATATCAGTTACCTTCAAGGCCTGCGAAGCATTGCTTTGAGAAGTCAGATGATATTGATGCATCAGCCGGTGTCAAGACAATGCCAGAAAACAAAGAGACCATCGAAAGCGAAGAAGTTGCCAAGGCTGTAGAAGCAGAAGAGAATTCTGTACTGAACAGATGTGATCCGCTTGCTAGTCGGGGGTTGACTGTAGATTTACACGAACACCAATGTGCCAAAGAGAAGACAAAACGTTACCAGGAAGAAGTGTCTAGTGCACGATCTCCAACAGATAAAAGTACCAAAACTTCAGATTTTCAATCTAATATGCAAACCGCGATGCCGCTAAGGGCAGACAAGGAGGAACCGATGGTTGGTTCTGCAGGACAAACAAGCGAGGACGAAACAGAAATGCCAGCTGCCAATCCGGAAGAAATTCGGAAACGTTTGAAACTGCAGTTGTCGAATCTAAGAGGGCGTAAAAAAATGAACATTTTTCAACATGTGCAGCAAACGGTAAACAACAACCAACTCTCAGCAAGTTCAACGTGTCGCGGCAAGGGCTCTAACGATTCCAGCCAATCATCTAAGGTTACTGAAGATACCCCCAGCTTAGACTTATTGAAAAAACGTAGATCATGGCCAGTTGATCAGGAACCCGACTGCGGCTCGACATCTGAAAGTGCTCAAGCTCTAGATTGCCGTGAAGATGAAGATGTGCCTAATGTTTTTAATGAGATCAGGAAAATTATTAGGAAACCTAAACCGTCGCCTGCAGCAACAGTGTTAATAAAAGTACGAGAGGTGACGGCAATTAATGAAGGATTTGTAGACGCGGAAAAGCCTCCAGAAGCCGTCAAACCGCAACAATCTGCTGTACAAGATGGCATTAAATCTGAAGAGTGTTCAAACGATGTAGTCAGCTCGCCGTTTATAAGCAACAGTTTGGACGAGTTTTTGATTGATGCCAAACTGAATGTGAGCTACACGATTCCGAAGTCGGGCGCCGAAGAAGGGCTCATACAAGACTATTCAACGGTTGATCCACTAATGACGCCTGAGGTCAAAGTGAAAGAAGAGCGCATTCAGAAACCTAAGAAGAAAACCCATTACAAAGCGAAGACGTTGGCCGAGAAAAGGAAAATTCTTGAAAAGCTTAGATCGCAGGAAGAGAGGCGCTTGCGGAAGCAGAAGAAGAAAATGGACCTGGAAAATAAGAGTTACGTGTGGTTCAAAAACAAAAAACTATTTGTTAAAAGCAAGTTAAAAGGGAAATGCCTAGCTTCGATCAATTCGACCATAAAATGTGACGTTCCTGATTTGGCCTCGCCCAAGAAGCTCTCATTGTTAACAGAGCTGAATCGTCACAAGTCGTCTGTGGAATACAGGGCAGGCCCACTGAGCAAAAAGCACCTGCTGCAGTCCAACTGCCCAGGCGATTGGAGCAGTGAGTTAAGAAACCTTCCGAAAGTGGTCTTGCACGTAAGGCCGGCGTTTGGAAAGCGCGTTCCTGAGCACATCTTGCCGCAGATTGTTAGAACATGGGATGGTTCGTTAAACGCCGACCAAGTGGAGTTTGCCTTAGCAGCTCTGTCTGAGCAAAGGGAAAATACTCAGCGGACTTTTCAGTTCCATCTCAGCTATGAAAACGACCAAGAGAAGATGTTAGTTCAAAAGAAGATGGATGAAGCGCCCCTTGTCCTTTGCAGTACTGACCAATCGAGCCCTAGTGATGGCGTCAGTGAAGTGGCTGGAGTAGTGGACGATCTGATAAGGTACGTAGAAGTTAAGGAAATGGCTGGCGACTTAATAAAGGAGCCTGAAGATGGCGGGGAGGGCGCCAAGGTGGAGTCTCCCAAGGAAATTGAGTGGGACGCCATGAAGAGCCCGATCAAGGCCAAGAAAAGGAAAAATAACTACGTTGGCACCAAAAGAGAGCTACTGAGACTGAATTGCAAGCTGGTCACTATGGAGGCAAACGTATCGGCCGAACCGTCCAAAGTCTGCACTAAGAGCCACTGCCAGCTGGGCTGTGTTTGCGAGTCGCTGAGGTGCGAAACCATCATAGGCATACATTGTCGAAAGTTCGCATGCATGTTCTCGTGCGTATGCCCACAAAGGCAGAACGCCATCATCAACATATCGGCCCCTACCAACCCAGACAGCGCCTACTTGTCTAGGGACGCAGTCAATCGCATTGAGGACGAGGCAAAGAAGCATCTGGCGAGAGAGGAGCGGGACTTTATTCAAACGATCATTTACTCGAACGATAGCGCCATCGTGCTGGGGTCCGGCTACAAGTCAAGACGAGTCACAAGAGCGCCGAAGAAGTACACGGATTTCTTCGAGGACCCGATTGAAGCGAGACTGCCTGCCATCGCGCCCTGCAGTGTGTCGATCGAGAATTTGAACCTGTCGGCTCTCATCCCCTACTGCATGGAGCACAGGGTGCATGACTGTCGCTGCGGAGGTCATGATGTTCACTGCTTGAGGCGAGAGGCGCGATTGGCACATAGTTCGACAATGCGAAAACGGCACTGTAAAAACAGCTTGGAGGACGACAGCCTGTTTAAGCCAGTCCACAGCAGGAAAGGTCGCCTCAAAGTGAAGAACGAGGTGACTGTGGAACCTCCAGCAATCACGCAGCCAACTGCGGAAGTAGTTGACGGGCAAAGTAGTGCCCGGACGCGACCTTTTCCGCCAAAGTACCGACAGTTTCTAATGGTCAACTCCGTCCAAGCCGCCTCGGGCGACTACATCAACAGTGTTAGCGACAGCGAGATCCTCTACCTGAAGCAATGCCAGCGCGACTCTGCGCTGAGCGACAGCGATTCGCTGAAAATTAGGTTGGTCAAGGGGTTGGACAAGTCAGTTGCCCCAATGGTCGCAGACCAGGAGCTTCCGCTGCCAAAGGAGGCTCGAGCGAAGCCCAAGAACAAGCGAAAACAGCAACTAGAGGTGCGAAGAGATGTCGACGAACCGCCGCTGGACAGTTGCAACGAGTGGCTTGCGGTTCCCTCTAAGCGAGTAAAAGCGATGAGCGAACCCCGGTCGGATGACATCACGGCAGCCTTTCCAGGGGAAATCATCGTTAAGGATTCTACGTGGTTGAAGAGTGTTTGCAGTAGCGCGAAGGAGCCGTTGAAGAGCTACGCGCGCATCCTGCCATGGCCCGCGCTACTTGCAGGATTCTTAGCGAGGTCCATTAATGTGTATTTTATTCGCGAAATGCCGCTGCGTCTGGTGATGAATGTGGGAAAGGTACTAAACGGCAAGAACTATTTTAACATTGAAAGGTTTGGCTCGCAAATTCTAGACACTCCGTTGAAGAGCAACCACGATTGGCTGCTGAAGCAGTCGGACAATGTGCGCGACATCATCAAGTGGCTCCTCTCAGGCACGTTGTCTGCAAGGTATGCCCCAAGCACGCTTTCCTTCCTTTTAGTCGAGACAGTTCCCAAACAGTTTGAAGTTAGGGGTCTGTGCACGCAAAGCGCCAAGCCAAGCGCACTCGATCTGGCCAATCCGCTCTGCTCGGAGGAGAAAAGCGTTTCGGATGAAATCAGCGAAATCAAGCACGAAGACATGAACAACAAAATATCGTCCCTGTTCATCACCAAGTGGAACTACCCGCTGAGGCGGCTGCAATGCAGGGAGAGAATCAACGAAATGTGGGCGGCGCTGCCTGACGACATCGACATCAAATGGCGCGTGGTCTTCCTGAAGAGGGAATTTGCCTTTTTGATGTTCAAGAAAATCCGTTACTCGATTAAGTACAGCGACTTGATCAACCTCACTGACATTGCCAAAGAGCAGCAGCTCACTGTTATGGTGCGGAACGCGCAAATTCGACGAAACCACCACCAGTCCCTCTTCGGACTCTATGCAACTCCCAAATATGCGGACAGGATATTTATTGGGCCTTACAGTAGCGATTTCTCAGAAGTCGACATCGACACGTTGATAACGATGAATAAAAGCCTGATCAGTTGCGAAGCGTTTTACACGGTGAAAGATGGTAAATACAGACGCGAGCTCTGGCTCTATGACGGCAAGTCGAATAGTGTAGGAAGAGATCTCGAGCAAAACGCTGAGGCGTCGGCTCCCGAAGATCTGGTAAGACCGAAGGAAACAGCGCCCGTTCCAAATGCCGGTCAACATAGGGTCGGCACGTCGTTGTCCAAAGAGGAGAAAATTATCACCCACAATGGAGTTAAGGTGATCATCAAGAACTCCAGAGCCAGGACACCCTCAGAGTTCAACAGGTAAATTTGCTGAATCATTATTTCGGCCATCTAGTAGTTCTTAATTCCAAATCAACATCAATTCCTGGGCTTCAGTCATTTATTGTCTATTTCTCAATTAAAATATGTTTCGGTGTATTTTTCCACCATCATCAGTTTCTCTAAAATAACAGATAGTGAAAAAAAATCACAGTTCGTTTAATACAAAATAAACTAAAAACACCTTAGCAAATGAATGTTGCATAAAATTTAAACCTAGGATTAACAGGTTAGACACGCCTAATGTAATTTACAAAATAGACTGTTTGAATTGTGATATATGCACATACATAGGTCAAACTGGACAATATCTAAGGAAAAGAATATACGAACATAAGTATAGCCTGAATATAAAAAAAAATAACGAAAATGGTACAGCATTAGCACAGCATGCCCAACAGAAGTTGCATAATTCTGATTTTGATAACACAAAAATACTGATTAAGGAGAGTAATTATAAAAGAGAAGAGTCCATGAAATGATACAGATTAAAAAACATAACAATGCTATGAATTTCAGATCGGATACCGACAATCTTAGCTCAGTATATC